ACAATGACAATTATGGAGAAAGATTCGGACTTGAAATTTCTAAACATTAACACTGTAAGGTTAGCAAACGAACTTCTGGCAGAATGCCAAGAAAGTTTTATTGTCAAGACCTGGCAGCTCCGTTTTCTCACTTCTGCGTCATCGTCGTCACTTATGTTGCCGTCAGCTGCGATCAGGCACATTACCCTGACTAGTCCTTATAATACCATAGTGATTCTTGCCCTGTATTTGTGGTTATTGTTCTTATGTCTTCTGAGATGTGGACGATTGGCCCCAAAAATGAAAGGGAAATGTTATAGTTGCTGCTGACCTTCAGTTGTCATCAGCTTAAAAACAAAAAACGATACCGCTTCTGTGCTTGTTCTCCATATATTGCTTTCTAAACACGGCATAAAAAAGCGGAGGTTCCCAGTAACGCTACACGACTTCTTAAACATTTGTATACGTTGGAGTTAACTCCACATCACTACACCAGCACGCGTTCCTATTCAGAAAGGTTCCTTCTGAGACCTTCTATACGTGAGTCTTCTCCCACTATACAGATGCTGCAACAGTACCCAGATTCAGATAGAAACGTCGGTGTTTCAATGAGAGCTACGATTTTACTAATTACGGTTGAACCTGCGCTTCACCGTGACTAATCCTTATTCTTAACTGCAAAGTATTCCGCATATAAGCAACACCTATCCTACTTTGATATTTGACAAACCTACTGGTAACCGAACTCAAAATTCACCTTCATAACACCCCCGTCTTTGAACTACAAGTGACTGACTTCATAGGCAGCTGAGAGGGCTCCATCCGGCCAGTTTCGGAGTTGCATACGACGACTACCTGTAAATGAACGCTTTTGCAAACACCGGACCCGCTAAGAAAGAGCAGGTTCTCCAACCCCATGGCTCCTGAATGCCGGACCCACCTGAGGCGCAGTGCCCAAATACTTCCCCCGAACAAGTCTTGAGGACGCAAGCACAGCGCGGAAATATTTTTAATGAGGACCCTACACAAACGATTTTACTTTGGATTACAGGCTTATGTACCGCTGAGCATCCGAGTGGAGCACAACGGCCACGTGAGGGCACAGACGCCGAGCTGCCTATAAAGGCGCTGAGGAATCACAAGCAGGGCAGAAACCACCAAACTTCTGTCCCCTCTGGAAAAACCCCATTTGCAAACCCGCAAATTGGAGCCGCTGCTGCAGAACGTCCACCAGCCCCCGTCAAAAGTCCCTGCTACGTACATTTATCCGTGTGCTTGTCATGAAGATGAATACCGCAGAGTCACAGCTCCGCTCTGGTGAACCTGACATAATTTTATATACAGCTAACAACAATTATTACAACGATTACGCGAAGTTTATTACATCAGAAATATCTGAATTCACGCATTTTCCATTCTGCATATCTGTTCCACGTGCACAGAAATGCTGTTGCCTAATTCGTCGTCAATTATAACTTCAGTTCCATCCCTTGAAACAAAGGTGCCAGCGCGTCCTGCCTCGACACCAAATATAACTTTGACCTAAACTAATAATAACGACCAAGAAATAGACTGACTTCGGGAAACCTAAAAATCCGGTTTTAAAATGCTGGGGCCATTGAGAACTTCATCAAAACTGCCCATCTGTTACAGCCCTTCAAAGGCTTATAACAACATTCTTACCCTGTCACCTTCCATTGGTTCGACTGGAAGGATCTCGTTGAAATTCACAGAGACTTCGTCATCAAGATCAAACGAGTAAACATTGCACTGCTTCTCCTACAACAAAAGAAAGTGTATAGTGTAATGAAATCTACGATGAGTAGACTTCTCTCTTTGATCCAAAAAAAAAAAAAAAAAAATATGAATAACTGCATGTGACTATGCAAATCTTGGAATGTTTCCCAACCCAAGCAAATGGTTTCCTGTAGAACCGCAAAAAATGAGTAGAAATGGTGTAGAACGTGATATTCAATCAAGATTACGATGCAACTGATTTCCTCAAAACAATCTGCATTTAAGAATTTTTTAAACTTTTACCCCTCTGACAACTGATCTAACAGTTCCCTCCAGTCCATGAAGGTTTGGATTCGAATAGTTGCTTTTGAAACGAACAATCATTTCAACATCGACCCAGTCATCTGGCAGCAAAGCATTCTCTACTGAAACCCAGAAAATCACTTAAATTCCACTTTGAGCCTTTGATTTTTTTCAGTTCTTATGTCAGTGAACAAAGTTACCTGTGGAGGATGGGAATCAAAACGAATTGCTCCATAATTTTTCAAAAATTTATGGAAAAAATTATTGGTAACTATAATGGCAAAAAAGTTCTATAATATAAGGCCTAATCAGGTTTTTATTAAAAGTTACCCTCTTCACTTCTGTAAGTAGTGTTTAATTAAAAAGCAAGTAAATATATTGAAAGTAAGCTACATAGTAACAGAAGATACCATCATTCACCAAACCCATATCACTGAAAATCCTGTCGGTGGCTGAATCAGCACTCAAAGAATCCAGTGGAGTTGAGACAACATTGTATCTAAGCGGGCTCGTAACTTTTGGGTCCCAAGCAGAACTACTAATATATTCCGGAGAATGGCTGCTTGACGGCGTACGATCTCCAAAGATTCAAATTACAAATAGCAGTTCAAAATCAGATATTTTCTCCCCCTTCCAAAAAAATGATTATTTCAGCACCAGTGGGAACAGCTAAACAAGGACCGCGGAATATTTAAACGGAAGGGAAATGATGCAAAAGCAAACTGACTATACGGTGACCTATCAGCATACATAGGTGTCTTCCCATCACCTCCATACATTGGAGTTCGCCCAGAATCGCTTGTCGGTGTTCCGTAAGTTGCAGGCTCGAAAACTTGGAAACCATTCGTAAACCCAACAATTTGTAATCTCGACCGGTCAACGCTGACAGTCTTCAAAAACATTTACTCAGCACTATTTCAAAGATTAAACAAATAACGGAATCTTACTTTACAATTCGTATGCAACTCAACGCGAGCAGTTTGGTCCGTTGAATCCTTTACGATACCAAAATAGCCCTTCAATGGTCCTTGTATAATCCGCACATTCTTACCGATCAACTGATTATCACGACGAACTTTTTGAGCCCTCCAATTATCTTGGGTTGCGGACCCTGAATATTTTTTGTAGGCAGATCATTCGATAATGTCAAGTACGGAGGTTTAAAGAAATGTTCTTGTTAAAGGGGCTTGGTGAAAAAAGCTTCTCTTTCTTTCCCAGACGTTTAATCTGTTTGAGTACAAGCTAAAAATGGATTAAAAACTTTATCGTCTCACAAAATGTTATCAACATCTCTCAATTGCTTAACTGCCCTTTCCCTAAAATTATTTGGAACTGATGGGATTAAACTATCCCACAGATCTACTCCGATTGTTGTAAGAACTAACCATAGGCATACGAAGAATCCCTCTGAATAACCGACCTTGTCGAAGCAGGTGATGAACGGTAACTGCTTTCGGGAGTTCTGTTTAGTGCCGAATTAACACGGTTTGAAAGAATCCAAACTAAACTATGCGATAAGAACAGACGCTATCAAGCTATATGGTGACATAGAAGACAGCCTACAAGGAAATGTTACTGCGAAGCTCCTTCCCCACCGCTAATCAGTGAACACTGTTTTTAAAACGTGGGTTCAGATGCCTCAGACCACAAAGAACTGGAAGATACAATTTAAGACGGAAAGCTGACGCTTTGAACCTTCAATGCTTAGGCCATTAATGCAGAATTTAATGGTCCAGAAAGTCGATTAACATAAGAAATACTTTATGTTACAAAACATGAGTATTTCTCTTTAACCACCCATCCAACACAGAAACCCCGTCAACTGCTTCAGTAGTTGTTAAAGAACCAATCAACTTTTACAAATATTTAAAAAACTATTTATAAAACACTGAAGAATCCCAGTAAAGATTTAAGACAACGATTAAAACAGGTAGACACCTCCACTAAGCGTTCTTAAACAAACTGGAGTTTAAGAGCATCAGATGGTTAAAAAGCGGCTGAAAAAAAACCAAATATCTACTTTGCATCTTCAACTTCACATTGAAAAAAAGAGCAAATCTAGAAAAACACTCTTCATTGGCTTGAAAATCAAGAGAAAGAATAAGAAAAGATGAACTGCTCAAGAACTTTTGACTGTTCGTTGAGATTTAATCAAACAAAAAATCCACTTAATCTTGAAGAGAAAATTCAGTGAATTTCAGAAAGATTTGCTACCGGGCTGTGTAAAGAACTTTCTGCAAAAAAACTTTAAAAGACTGCTTTAGCATGCTCTTCCAAAACGTATACTCTGTGGCTTTTTTATGGAACTCCTTCAGTCTAATAAAAGAAACCGAGTCAAAAGTCAAGAAGAAGTTGGTCGTTATTCTAATGCTTCTATAGTGGGTAGTCATGGTACTACTAAGACTAATAAACAAATTCTGTAGTTAAAAGAAGCTTCATCCAAAACAATGCAGGTACATAAAGCAGAACCGTCTCATGAACGGTTTTAAAACGTATTCACATGAGCCCTCAACTAATGTAGTAAAAAAGCGAGAGGGATGATTGGAAAAAATTAATCTGGATGTTCCCAACGAAGCTTGCCAGATAGGCAGAGGTTGTGTGAAATGAAGCTCAAAAGCATTTTCTTCGAGCCGATAATTTAACTCCTAGAAAACTGTGTTTTTTCAAGGATTTCACCATGGCTACAACTTTCTTCAAACATGAATGTACCGTAAACCCAGGGACGAACCCGCTCTTAATGGAATAAATTTCAAAAAGTTGATGTTCCAAAGAAGTTACAACGCTGGCAGCCCATATTACGAGGAACACAATTCCCGCTGACATATAAATAAAAAATAAAATAGTCATAGTGAACAATATAGCAATCAGCACCTGGTGTATCTTTACCTCCTATCAGTTGCAAGTGTCGAGGTTTACAAACAACTATGCCACCGTTCTCCAACTTGTTACGTAAACGAACAAAGGCAAATGACCGATAAAGATGTAATATTTCACCCTGCTGGTGTTCTTCGCCACCCTCAACTGCCTAAACAAGCTATCAGAAAAACAGGAACCCCAAATCCAATTAAAAACTTACATATGGGCCTTCAACAACTTTTATCATATCTTTGACATGCAAACTATTGTTCTCCTTATCGAGCGCTTGAGCATAGGTAGAATCTCGCCTTCCTCGTATGGCTTGTGGTGCCAACTGAACTACCTAAAAAAAACCCTGAATTATAGAGGAAGTACAAGAACCAAAATGAAAAGAAAAATTACGAAAAACTCTTCGTATGAAAGATTTCAAGCATAAATGTTCATCTAATTAAGACCCAAAAATATTTCCAAAACAAAAAAATTTACATACTTTACTCTTCAGTAACTAAACTTCAAACTCCACTTCAAAACAAAGGTCTTAAAAATTTGAAAAGAGCGGCAAATCAACAAGAGTAATCCGTCTGTAATGCAAAAAACACTTTGAACAACTATATTCAATGAGACTAAGCTCAACCTTTCCATGCATTGACAATATGTCAAAGTGGTCCTTCGCAATACGGACAATACACCCTACAGTATGCTGGTCCAAATTTACTAAGTCCAAATAACGGAAATTTCCATTACTTGCAACCCCAGAAGCAATGTTAGAACAGATTTCTGCGAAGCGTGGGAGGACCGTAATCTTAAAATGTTCATCTTACAACGGAAACGGTGCTGCTGCAAGTCAGCCCAACTTTATACGTCACACAATGCAAGTTAGTTCAAATCCGTCCAAACAGATGTCTTGCGAACTACTGTAAGGAAGCAAAAATCTTAAAAACTAGGCACTCTACCTTTATCTGATTATAACTGTTTAAGTAAGAGAAGAAATACAAGCCTCGAACATTACCTAGATTTAGAAAGGAAATCATAAATCTCTAAAGTCACTAGTTTGCTTAAATACCGTCAGAGAAACCCAACTAGGAACAAGAAAGAAATACGACAACGAGCCTCATTCAAGGTCAGATCCGAGACAAAAATAATATTGTTCTCTTCCACCCTGACTATGAATCCGGTTTCACCCTCATACTTGCCATGCATCACTTTCACGTGATCACCCACTTTGAAATACTTCTTTAACTCACTTGCATCAAAAGTTAGCGAATCCTGAAAATGTAATTGAGATGAAGCACGACTGAGAAAACTTTAGTAGAGCACTACCAAAAGCTTTCCATTGTTTTTCTCACAGACTCGCTCTATTTTAAATGTAAATTATCTGTTGTGAAAACTGAAGAAATAAATTTACTTAGTTTTCCTTGTTGTAAAATTATTTGCGAGCTGAAAGAATGCTACAACAGACGTCAAAAAATAATCAGAAATCATTCGTACTTTTAGATCTTCATGATCTGGAGCTATAAGAACTTTCTTTCCATCGCAGCTCTGGACGCGACCGCGCAAGTTCATCAACTCACCCTCAGCAACTACAACTGCATCTCCAGGCGCAAACTTTGATGCCAAAGAAGGGATTTTTACCGACTCCACTGAATATAGACCGAAAATGATGACATAATGCCTCAATGAGGTATACTAATAGCTTAACGATCTACTAAGTTATGTGAAAAATAAGAGTGGTTTAAAAGATGGATACTACTAAACCTTTGAAAGCTTAAACACTTTTTGCTCATTTCTAATTCTTCTCATAGTAGGAACTATTAACAGCTGCCTTCTTTTAACCTTCAATAAAAACATTCATTTTAAAACTAGAAGTATCATTTCTCGTAATGACATATACCAGAAAGGTAACTGTTCATCAAACTCACATTCACTTTTCAACTCCCCGTTCATTTCGAGGAACATTTCCAACTCTTCTAATTTGGGCTCAACATCCTCAATCTTCTGCAATGAAAATAACACAATATAAGCAAAACCTTAAGAAAAACTTGGGTAATTATTATCCTTACTATCGCATCAACAGGAAACCATTTGTACAAAAACCCTTCACGATAGTGATCGCCTTCAAAACTGTAGAAATCTCCATCTGTTGTCACTTCGCCACCTACTTCTCTAAATGAAAGTATTATGCAAAAATCAGAAAAAATCTAATTTTTTACCTCACTCGTTCAACACTAAATAACTGCCGCAGTGGACGGACCTTCCTCGCCACAGATGACTCCTCCTAAAAACTTACTGTTATCCAAGAAATCGCACGCAGAAAACAGAAAGTAAATCAAAACTCGAAATTAGTACTTGCCCTATCCTTCAACACTCCCCTCCTCCTCATGTAGTCAACTCGAGGAATAAGCTTTAGATAAACACGATTTTGCAGGACATCGACGAGATCAACCTGAAAAAATATCCTACATTAAAATATCTGCTATGTGCCAACTCGTTACCTCAAAAGGTAAAGCAAATTTCTGCTTCATGAACACTAATAAAAGTAGATGAAACCACAGTAACAACGAAGCTAAGACAACAACGTAATCAAAAAAAAATTATCCTACAAAAAAGAACCATGCCTGCGCTAGATCATCTTTGTACTTTGTCCGAAGCACTCGGACATACGCGCCGTTTTTAAGTCCTAATGAACGTTTCACGACTTTCAAACAGTCTGGCATTTCTTCTATAGGCACCATCTTCAGACTATACGGATTCAAACCAGGAATGCCGTCTACCGCAGTTAAAACATGGGACCGCTTGAAAGCTTCAACATAGACAAAACCTTTTAACCCTTCTTTTACAAAGCAACTTTTGATTTGTATTGGCTGAAATATACAAAGGTAATGACTGGTGGAAGTGACTTCAATTACTGCAAGACTATATAAAGATTTAAGAAGCTTAGAGTTTGATCAAAGCTGATCAATTCGAAACGTGAAACCGTAATTTATAAAACAATTTTGATGATAAATTACTTCATTATGCGGGTTAAAAAAATTCACATATGTAAGATTTCCGTTGCAAAACTGCTACGACAAGAGGCTTTAATTATTTAATATTTCTGAAGAAAGTATAATCATATAATAGAATAATAAATAGGGAAATCTTACATTATCACTATTCATTAACCCAAACGTTTTCCTCAAAAGCTTCAGAACAATATCCCTTTCGTCTCCAACTCGACATTTCAAGATCCATATCCTTGGGTCTTTCACACAAGGCAACAGTGCCTGGTGTGAAATTCCAAAACAATCGGACTCTTCAAAAGTAGTCTGTGCACCGTTAGCCTGGTTCCCGTACTTCTGTTTGAAATATTCCTCAATTTGCTCTTCGCTCATATCACTGTAGTAATAAAATTTGTGTCAATCCAACAGACAATGGGCGAAGCAAACCCAAAAAGCGGAGACGCGCATTGAAACAACAAAAAACTCCTTTGACAAACTAAAATAACCTAAAAAAATTGTGGCTCCTCCTCTCGCATGAAATTTCTTCCTGGTGACGCATCATTCTTTCTGCCTCCTCTCTCTCTTGAGGATCAATCCCCATTTCTTCCCCTTCCTCCGAACTTATCGCTTCCTCTTCCTCATCATCAACTTCAACATCGTCCAAAATAAACTGACTCGCTCCATACCGACGCTGAAAGTAAAACAATCACTGTGTCACTTGTTTCAAAGGACAAATATGCCTTACTAACCTTCTTTCTTCTAATTTTAGTAGACCTCTCATCATCACGTTCGCTTGACTGTACAGTGTCTTCAGAACTGTCCTCTTCCTAGAAAACACAGTGGAAAAAGCTCGTCGTGGAGGCTACATATGAATTAAAGTACAACTGATCAAACAAGAATATTACCAGAACGTTTCCCAATAGCGAATAAAATTAACCTGAGATGTTCTTTCTCGACCTCTACGTTTCATACTGAATGTTCCCAATTCCGAGACCACCGCACCACCATCCTGTTTAAAACAGGTTATTAAAGTAACGTTTACGTGAACAAAGATGAGGTTGAGCAAAGATGTTGATGTTACAGTTCTGATTTCCCAGCTATGAAACACAAATAACTGCACATAAACCTCACTCTTCTGTAACCAATAACTAAATAAAATCAGTAAGGAATCCCAAATGCTCATAAAAACTTTAAAAACTTCAAACTGCAAATGTTGCAGGAATTACTAAATAAATGCATAAGCCTAAACAAGACTCTGTGAAACTTAAGTGTAAACTTCTTCTACCTTTTTAAGTGATGGGGACCTTCTAAAAAACCTCGAAGTAATTCTTTAAGCTTCAGCATTATAACCTTCTGCTCATGATTTACCTAGAGATTCAAAAAAAAAAGATTGAAAACAAAATAGAAACAGAACTAAATAAATAGAGCCTTTAATTAAGAACACTTCGTATACAATAAAAAACGAAATTCTCGGAAAATTAAACGCTAAACATGGGAAAAAGCATGGTAAAAGAATTTTTTTTCCTCTGCAATAAAAGAACCCAACGAAGGTCTTCTGTAAAGTTTGAATTATCGTTTAATACCTTCCAGTTGACCTACTGTATATTTGTCTCTGGTAATCAAAAATTTATCGCCATTTTAAATAACAGATTACGATACACATCAAACTCACTGATTCGCTAATGTTTCCAGAATCTGTGGAGCTTTCTCGAAGGAACCTATTATCCCCATCAGACATGTCTGGCTTCTAAAATAGGGAAACGAGTTACCCAAAAACCTCAAAAAAAGTAAGTAAATCAGCAAAAATTCGCTTCCAAAAGTTTAAACGTGCAGAGTGACTACATCTACAGTAAAAACAATATTTGTAGCCCATTAAGATTTGCTTCTGCTAAACGGTAAAGAAAATAAAAACATTTTAGTCGTATCTATGCAGAAAAAAAGAAAAATTAATTCAAAAATAGTTACTCAAGTACGTTTTAGCGATAGTCATCCTGGTAAGTACGGTTAATTCCGGAAAAAAACGATCACTAAATCCATGAAGGACAATTCATTATCCAAAAGAGCTCATTAAGAGGACCATCCTCAGCTTTTGCGCCACCCCTTCGAAGCATTTTGAATGGAATGTCAGCCATTCAATAAACACTTCGCATAAGATTTATAAGGTCGAAATAGATAGAAATTAACGTTCACTATCACAGTCTCAGGAATTGCGTAAGCAGCAAAACTTTTATGAAACCAATTTAAGTTAGAAACTTATTACTTTTCTCACTAATACCTACATCCACCATTCTACTGCCCATACTTGAACATCTAGTGTTCCTTGCGCAAGATCTTTCTTTCTACTAGGAATGTTCTGCGGTCCTTCTATTAAAAAAACCCCTGTAAAAATATCCTATCACATAATACAATCACAAGCTTCTAAAAAAAAAGCTTTTTGACAATCATTCGTACTCCCTAATTCTTACCAAAAATCTCCTGAAAAAGTAAACACAGAGCCATGAGCAAAACATGATCCCGCCTCAATGCTGCAGTAATTCAATTACTAAAGAAGCAAACAAGTGCCTGCAAGTAGCGCTCCACATTTGTAATGATCGTTTCAACAGCTTTTAAGCGGTGTTAACTCACTTCGCCGTAACAACTTACCCACAGCGAATTCGCCTTTTAAAAAAAGCTGTTTCATACACCACTTACTCAAAAAATCTCTACCAGAACACTCAATCTGATCGACACCAGTTGAATCCACGCTCAACCTCTCGATGTCTAAGAAGTGACTAGTCCACAACTATCCAAATAAGCTGCAAACTACAAAAAGCTAAAGAGAACTAAGACAGAATCTGAAAACCATCATAAGAACGCCACATTATCACCACTGTTCGCTGCTGTAGAAAGCAAGCATTAAAGTTCAGGTGCCCTTGTAAGCTGCTAAATGCAGTAACTGGAACCGCACCATTTGCTATAGAAAAACGCCTTACGTCGCCCCTGTACAGAGGTAAGGACCTTCAGGCAATTTAACTGTACTGTAGGTTTTCAAATTTAACATCTGACGTTGTTCCCAATCATACATAAACTGGACAGAGCCATAGGCCGGCTCATTTACTTTTCAGCACTTGCTCTACGTAACTCACCAACACCAACAATTACAGTTCATCTGTGACGCACCCAATTTGACACTAAGTTGCGCGAGCGACACCCGCGCACAGCGAACGCTCCCATCTCCGCAGGTCGCAAAAAAGCGAAAGTACAGGCTGTTCAATTTAATCAACCAACCGCACTCAGTTTTAAGATAAAATATATGAAGCCTACGGACGACAATAGAAAGAGTATGCTACGGTTTTATCAATCAATATGTATCGATAAGAAGGCAAATGGGGTAAAACCAGAAAATGTGCTGCTGCCTGGTTTTCTCCTAGCTTTCTGCTGGTTTAATGGAGATCTCAAACTGGGTTATTAAATTTTTATTATCAGTATCGTCTTTCCCTGAAAGGACGACTTTGGAGGGGTCTTCGTCGGTTCCTCAGGTGGCCTCTCAAGACAAGGACAGCAGGTCAGGCGACAACCAAAATAGGTATAAAAAAAGCTGAAAAGTTTCTCTTTTTGGATTGTTCTCTGTTCTGTGTATCAGTTCATTACTTTTGTATTCAAACGTTCAATCAGCTATCTATTGGTCAATAACTCGGCTTATTGATCGATAGGCTTTCGTCATTATTGTTAGCGATTAACATCAATCGTTGACAGCTATTATCGTCTTCGATTTTTACTATTCATTACTTCGTCTTTTTAATATATTATTAATTTTTTGTAATTTTGTGTTTCTTCCTATTATTTTTCTTATTATTCTTTTGAAGTTGTAGTACCAGTGTACGACTATTTTCTTTGTTATTAGGATTATATTTTGTACTGGTGTATGTTTAATTTCCAATGAAACAATCATCAAAACTAAGCGTTCACGTATCATCAACGCTACTTTGAGCGCTACTATAGAAATAGGTAGCCTCAAAATTACAATCCTCAAATGTTACCAAATTAAGTACGTTGTAATTGGTTAGTGCTGTAGTACTCAAGCGGCTATTGGGTCTACAGTATAATTTGAAACGTTTTTTGAGCTTTCAAAGAGTATAGTAGGAGGAAGGCTCAGACCATCCTTCAAGTAGAAGGAGTGTTGGTAGTCGCAGCAATTAGGAACATAACAAAGCTCAGAGTTAATTATAAATAAGTCAATGCATTAACGACCACGATAATAAAAGCTAAAAGTAAACCGTAGGTTCAAGATGCAGGTCCGCTCGGACCGTCCTTCGACTAATACTGAGTTAGAAAACAACCATCTTCAACTACTAGTAGGCAACGACCTATTCAAGCGGAAACCGTCTCCTGGCCTTCAGACAACACTAACCTGATCACTTCACTTTGCCGCTGCGTCGTTCGCCTGCTGCAAAAAATGTCACACACTCCACCCAGAACTATGCACAATCTTCAGTTAATACCCCGTACTCCTTTAAACGTTGGTAATCCTTTTACTTCATGGCCAACACTCCATTGAGCTTTTTTTTTTTGTTGGCAGAGTTGAAGGATGGCAGAGCGTCAAGTAGAAGGAAGCAGCCGCAAGGAGAAAGAAACGGCTGGAAAAGGGAAGGAGAGAGCACTTTCTTATGTATTTTATAAACTAGTGACGAGCCGGAGACGTGTGGTGCAGTGACAAACGCTTATAATTTTCACTGAAAGTTTAGGTTTTGAGCGCAGCAGTTTTGAAGTGTACTTATGTGCTTTAAAATCTTTTCTGCCATGTTAAAGCCGGGAACATTGGCTTGTCGTATGCTATCTCGACTTATGTTAGTCATGGTAGTCTGCAATTTGCTTTACAATTCGCAGTTATCTGAGATGACATCAGTTCAATGTGTTTTAAGTGCATTTTTTTGTCGTCTGTGACTCATAAGGCATTTGACAAGAGCCGCATCCTTTCGAAAACTTCAGAATTTGGATGTTTGTTCTGCGGTTTCCCTTCTCCGTTTGCGTGTATTACAGCCGGGCAGGTATGACCATAGAGACAAAGAAAGGTCGATTTGAGGAGAAAAGAGTGAAGGAACACCGCAAGAAACCTGGTTTTTACAAAAGTATATTTTACTTAGCACTGAGAGTGAAGTTTAGAAAATGTCTTTCACTTCCTTCATATTAGGCAAAGCTCCAAAAGGTCGTTAGAAATAAAGACATCGCATTTGAAATGGTCTATGGAGCTCGTAGCAAGATTCTCCCCCACACTTTAGCTGGATAAAATGAACTTTTGCCACAGTGTTCATGGGAAACGTTTCAGAAGAAATCGTTTAACAATCGGAGGTCTGACAAGGTGGTGGAGGTGGAAGAAAACCTCGTAAACAGGCGTAAAACCGAAGAGCAGCGGTTGCATTTTGGGAGTATCAAGCAAGAGACCAGCGGGCGTTACGTTGTTCCAGTGGGACGACGAGGTGCTGCAGCTTTTAACCTATTCTATGAATAATTTGTCTTGTATGAGAACCCTTTTATGGAAGTAACTTATTTTACCACTTCTTTCAAACCCTATAACCCTAAAGAGTCCGTACCCGTAATATCTTTTCAACTTACTCGCCTCTATAAACAAGCTGAATTCGCTAACTTTAAAATGTGAACAAAGCGAAATGAAACAATATTTAGAAGCTTCAGCGTAAAGGAATTTCTAGCATCCTTTCCACTGCTTCCGATATACACGTAACTCTTCTAATACAGGACTAATTTATTCAATTCTAAAAGTTCTAGCAACTTTTCACCAGGATATATCAATGAGTATTATAAATCGAGACCAAACGAGTACCTCCGCATCCTTTTCATGGAGCTATTACGCGAAAATCTAGGCTGGACGGATGATAAAATTAATAGAATGAAGCTCAGAGAAGCCACATGGGTCCTCAACCCTTGAGTAAATCGTACCCGTTGCTATCTCTTATCCTATATCCTCTACTAACCTTCACTTTACAATCACTTCAAATAAATCTTTAAACTAGCAGCAGCAGACACAATCTACTTCGCAGTGCTGAACGCGAACTGTCTAGCGCCCATCAACTGCACGAAGACCCAGTATCTCTGCAAAAAAATTTGACAAAGCAACAAGCCGATTTATTTGAGCAATTTTCTATTACTGCAAACAATCTCAAAACTGAGGGGTTCTTTGCACGCAGCGAACTCGCTAAAACACGGGTTAGTAGATCTGGCAACGTAACTCGACTCGATTTAGCGGACCCCCGTGTTTTTGAGATGCTTCATCGCGACCCTGACGATCTTAGCTTTTACCTCTTGCTTGCCCACGATATTACTTCAACGTGTTCATTATATTACTCCATGTATTGCTGTTATATTGTCATCTATGGAATAAAAATAAATAGTTTTATACGTCATCCACTAACAAATTAAACCTTGCTTAAATTCTATACGTTTAAACGACCACATTAGCGGACGACAAGTGGTTACAAAGTATCCGTGGACGGAATCTAAATACTAAATTTTTTTTAATCTTCAACAGACTTGATCTCAGCTGTAACTGCTTCGCTATTTTCGCAACCTTAGTGTAGATATGTTTTTACGAACTGGCTGTTTGTACACAAGCGTGTAAAACAAAAAAAACGAACAAAACCAATACATTAAAGGACTGAAAAAGGGTAATGAAACTGAGACAATAAAATAGTATGTCCTGAATGAATACACTCTTTTCCTCTCCAAATATGGTCTCGAGTTGATAGGGATCAAATTAGTTCACCAAACTGTTTTAGACACCTGTATTTTATTATGAACGAACGCAGTAAAGCCTGGGGTTCAGACAATATTTCATTTGACAACCCTTTCTATATCCAGCATAATTCCCAGAAAGGGTTCTTATAAAACGATTAAAATGCACTTATTAGTTACGGAGTACTTTAAAAAAGATGAAAAGCTGATGTAAGAGTTATAGCTTCTTCTACATTCAATGTTACAGATGACGTAAAGGAAGAAAAATTAACCAGTTACTAAAAATTAGCGACTGACGAATTTAACAGCATTTTTTAATTTTGCCTTTTTTTATTTCCAACCACCACTTTTTCAAAGCATCTATTTTTTCTTTATCGTAGACCAAGAAATTAATTAAGTCTTAACATTGCACGTCTCAGATACCTTCAGCGAAATGAATATGATGTACAACCCTTTTTACAGTACCAAAATTCAGCTAGACAATTCTGAGGCAGTAGGAGGAGCTGTCTTCAGCGGACATGGTTCAAATTTCTTCACTTTCAGTGTTGTATTCTCTTACTGTTCACCTCTCCAATAGCCTTAAATTGTAACCGTCTCAGTATAGCTATCCGTTTAAAATTTAGGCTTTTTTGTACACCCCTCTTAATTCAAACAAATTATGATACATTTTCTTTTAGATTTTAGCTTATGCCAACGTGGACTCTATAAGGTTTTTGAACGATGGTCATAAGACTCATTTGCTTTTGAGTATGGGAATATGAGAAATGATGTATGACTGTAAATAGTTCCAATTTTTCACCGTTTTTACTTTTCCCTATTCTACTTTTACTGGCCTTCTTTGAGCTTGTTTGCTACATCTTTCGCGAGTGCAACGCGTCATAGTTTATTTGCTTAGTTGTGTAAGATTCTGTTATCAGCTACTCTTTTTTCAAGCTTTTATATAGCCAGGAATAAAGCAGGATGAGAGACAGAATTCTCGATGGTTTCATTCTCTTATCCTACGTCGTATCTCTCTTACTGCTTTGGTGGGAAGTCATTTTTGTGCGTGATCCCACTATTTTGGATTTTAGATGCTGCAGTAAACAACCACAGGTCAGTAAAAAAACTATTTTTTAAAAGATCTTTTTTAAAATTCATTAAAAAATCAAAAATTTGTTTTCTTTAGCAGATTACTGGTGATATCTTTACATCAATAAGTTCGTACAAGATCTTTTTTTTAGCTTTATTTTATCAATGCGTATTTGGTAACGAAAAAGCAGATTAAAGTCACTTTCTTGTCGAAATGCGATTACTTTCCTAAACTGATGGTTCGTTTAGGTCGTGGAAAACCAATTATAATGAAGCCGTTTCTTTTTCAGAGTTGCGGCAACTTGTATAATAAAGCGTAATCTAAATACTTGAAAAAATTTTTAACAATAAGATAAGACTTTTAAAAATGGTGAAAAAAATTAATGCTACAGATTGTTAAGAATCTAAATTTCGCAAAATTTCTGTGTTAGAATTCCGCATAATTTGTTGGTAAAATTCTTTTGAAGCAAATTGTATATATAAATTTTACAGTTGTTCTTTAAAGAAAAATTTTTAGGACTACTCTTTTAGTAGAAGTCTTTTAGCACTTTACTTAAGTAAAGACCTGCTACTAATAGGTAGTCCACGCGACACTGTAGTGGTTTTTGGAATACACGACACTGTAGTGGTTTTTGGAAGAGAAAACTCCATCGATTGGCAGTATGCCCATCTCC